CCCGCCGCGGCCGCTCGGACTTGACGCTCCTTTCCTCCTGTTGTAGTCGGTGTGAGGAAGTGCAGCTTGTTTTTATACAGAGACACTGTCTCCGTGCGCAGAGCAGCTTCACTGCATCACTAACGGGAGGGGAGGGGAGGGTAGGGGAGGAGAGGGGAGGTCGGGCTGCCCCCCTTCAGTCTGCTCCAGTAACAGCGTCATATTCAAGAGATGGAAACAATTTCTGTTTCCAGGCTCCCCACATGTAAAACCTTTGATGCTCGGACTGTTTGTCGTCTCCGCCCCTGGATAAATGATGTGTAAAACTTGGTTTTGTTTTGGCGGTAAATATATTTTATATTTGTTTTATTTTATTATTCATCATACAATTAGAACGCCCTTCTTTTCTTCACCTCCCCCCCCCCCCCCTCGCCCCCCTCTCTCTCTCTGAAGCGGATGCAGAGCAGAAGTTGCGGCAGTTTGTGGCGTCCGCTGATTCAGCACCATGGACAGCTCTGTCCACGGAAATCAGTTTTCAAATGTCTTTTTTCTACTTTTCTACCCCGCGCGTGCACATACTCACAAACGGGCGCGGGCGCACGCACGCACACACACACTGCAACATGTTTCTTGTCACCAGCTCAGGCTCTTCTTGTTTCCACCATCTTCCTCTAACTGTAGCTGTAGCCACGGCTACTTTTCCTTCCAGTTTTCCTTTGGTGCAGTGGTGAAATGCTCTGCCGTCTACATTACTGCTTTAATCCTCTCTATAATTCGGTTTCTAAAATGACAAACTCTCCTGTAGTTATTGTATCTATTATTCAGGAAGTACAATTGTCTGACCAGACTAGAAAATACATGTGACCGAGGTCTGTCAGGTATAAGAGGTGACATATAGACCAGTGGTCCTTTATTATACTCAGTACCACCTGAAAAAACATTGAGCTCTCCACCATGTACCACCATGAAAATATGAATTTTCCCCACATGCCACTAGAGAGCGCTCACGTACCACTGGTGGTACACGCACCACAGTTTGAGAACCACTGATATAGATCATCTGTGAACAACTTTCTTTGTTGAACTTAAGAGACAAAATATGTAGAGTTTATAAAAGATACTTTCTATTAACAGTCTCGTAGGTTGGTGAGTTAGCAGTTACCTCGTTGTAAATGATGTGAGCGAGGTTTGTGTTTTCTATGCTTTGACCTGAAGAGAAAAATGCCACTTGTTTTAAACCTCACTGAAAAGTGGAGACCGGTTCAACTTGTGGAACCAAAGCAGTGTTGCCAAATGTCTAAAGTCCGGCTGTCGTTAAAAATTCATTATTCAGTTCATCCCACACCAACACTTCTCAGAGATGTATGCTTACAGCAAAGCGGCCTTCGCTCCTCTACCCTTCCTCTCCTCTGCACACTCCAGCAGACTCCTGCCTCCTTACAAGTGCGCGCTGTCGTCTCACAACATTTTCAGTCATAAATTAACATATTTTCTTTCTCTTTTGGATGCCACAAGGTTCAGCCGGTAATGCACACTTAGCCGTGCTGTGATTTCTGAAAAGGGTAAAAGCAGTGAAATGTGTTGCGTTGTTAGCTGCTAGTTGGGCTTGAAAATGATTATTTGTCGTTCGAGTCACTGCACTCGACGTGACAGTATTGCACTCTGTCACAGCGGAGATACTAATCTCATACAAACAACTGCCAGCAGCACAATCTCTCTCTCTCTCTCTCTCTCTGGTTGTGTTGCAGCGCCGTGCAGCCGCGCTGCTGTCCACCTGTTGTGGGGAGCAGTATCTCCTTAATAATGCATTCAAACTCAGTGGAAATGCTTTCTGCAGCACAGGAGATCAATAGTTGTAATTTCACATATTGGCGTTCTGCCTCCACTCACTTTCTCTCTCTGAGATCTTTCCCACCTTCTGTTATACTGTGGTCAGCATAGAGAAAAAAAAACAAAACAACAACAACATTATCCAGTGCCTTATGCTGTTTGTGCTCTAAGAAATCATTGGACAGTGAAAAGGATGATAATATTAAAGCATTAAAACATAGACATGAATAAGGAATGGACATAAGTTTTAAAAAGCTGTAAAATAAAGAGATTATATATTAGTGTGTAATTTTACAGTTATATAACTTTATTTATGTATGAAGTCAACTATATGTATCTATAAATACATATATAATATGTATCTATAGATACATATACATATGTATCTATAGATACATATGTAATATGTATCTATATATGTATATATGTACATAAATATGTATTATGCCTCATGGCAAAAGTTTTTATTTTTCACATTCCATACTTTTCTTGCAGTAAATACGATTCTAGTCAAAGTTTTCGACACGTCTTTTTCATGCCCGAGGTGAATGTGAAACAAGTCAAACACTGAATCATCAGGATGTTCAGTAGTGAAAAGAAAGCTGTCTGTCAGTGGCTACAACATGTGAAGGTTTTTTTTATTATTATTTTAATGAATAAAACCTAATTAGGCTACGACGTGTGAAGCAGAGCACAGTCATTTTAACAAGCTGAGGTAAAACAGACGCAATATAGGGTCAGTGTATTTTTTTTTCTAAGCATACATGTTTGAGCAATGGAAATGTCAGGAACCGCGATGTGAAAAAAAAAAAAAAAGAAGAAGAAGCCCACAGAGGCTAATTAAGACGAAGACATTTTTACTCATCACCTTTTTTTTCTTTGACTGCAGATGGATATTGTTCTGCCTTGTCCTATTAAAGGTCGTGTTTTGATTATTTCTTTATCCCTCTGCATTAGCTGAGAGATCATGTGAAATTTAGGTCAAAATGTGTCACCTGACAAAGAGCAGATTTGCTTCAGCGCCTGAAGCCAAAACTCAGGACTTTTCAGTAAGAGACTGGTTCTAGTATTAGTCCGTGTCACGGTTCCTCTCGCCCTCTCTTGTCCGCTGATATAGACAACAACACTTTCAAATTCATTTGGAGGAATAGGAGTCCTACCATTGAAGGAGTTTTTGTGATAACATGTCTGGGCCACACGGTGGCAAATCTTGCAAATCCCTTCTGTCCTGTTCCTGTCCTGTTATTTCCTGCATGGACTCCAGTTTCACCTGATTTCAGCCAAATCTCTATAAAATCCGCTTGATTCCCGTGAGACTTTTCTTGTGTGATTCAGACTTTACGATTGAACTCCATGATTGACGTTCACTGATATTCCACTACTTTTGTCCATGCTGAGTTTAGGTGTCTGTCGTGTGGAGCCTTCGAAGCCCATTAAAAAGAGATGATCCTATTTGCCCCATCCATCATTAACTTGGACAACTCTCCTCCTAAAGTGCATCGATCGTCCTCTCGTTGCCCCCGCCGTTGCACTCCACTCTTTCTGGTATTAAAGCATAAGCGACGCAGTAGCCTTTCATTACCTGAAGGAGTGCTACATCATGAATTAGGCATTAGGTGCTGTATTCTCAGGACCGACATCACAAGCGGCCTCGTAGATTTGATTCCAGCCTCCAGTTCAGATTCCTTCAGTGACGTTGAAGGCCGGCTGCCGTTTTTACAAAGCTCACATTTATTGCCTTCAATCAAACCGCTGCTTGTTGCTTCCCCACAGGAAATTTTTCTTCCAGAAAAACGTTGTTTGATGATTTTTACAGTAATTGCACAAATGCATTCACTACTCTGAATTATTAAAACAAGCTGCAGCGCCGCATGTTTTATACATTTTGCTGTGCTGTCTGCCTTGCATACAAAGTGGCAAATTTAAGGTCGAATACTGGGTCGGAATTTTGTGTCCAATTTTGTGGTGTAGAGATACAATGGAGAATGTTGTTGCTGCTGTAAACACAGTTTTATAGATTGGTTTGTGTGATTTG